ATTTTTGTAAAACTTAATCAAATCGACGTTTGGAGTGGTCTCCAGTGGAGTGGTCACCAATAAATAGCCCCATTGTGAATCCTACAGGTGTGTGAAGAGTGAAGTACCATGAAACACCAGCTGCAGAAACGCGCCTTTGCTCCGAACTCAGACACTTTATTAGCAACTCTCTGTGACATTTGGGAAGAAATGACTGATAATTGTGTCCAAAATTTAATAGAGTCGATGCCCAAAGGGTTCGTGCACTACACAAAACTAATGGCTCTTAAGCAAAATAATAAAGAGCACATTTAATGTTACGTCCAAGTTTTGCAAGGTATTTGTGATTGCTCTGTTTTCTGTTTTGTTTGAAACTATCGGGACAAAATTGTTAAAAAAGAATATTGTTTATTGAAATAAAAAATTCTCCATTCATAGGATATGAAATGTATGTCCATTCTAGCAATATTGATGCTCCTCAATACATGCGCGAAGACAATTTTACGTTTCTTTGATTTCGCACGATTTTGCCAAGCCTGATCTTTAGTTCAATTTTGAGTGGATATATCTCAAGCGTCTCTTGTCAGATGATGCAGAATTTATTTAGCTTTCAATTGTTATGTTGCATGAGTAGGTAAAGCAAGGCTCCCGAACGATGGTTTGGTGATTACATTATCAAGTTTCTTTTGGACGCCACTGCACACACACACACACGCACACACACACACACACACACACACACACACACACACACACACACACACAGACATACACATACACACACACACACACACACACATATATATATATATATATATATATATATATATATATATAATTATATAAACTAGCTGAGTACCCTGCTTTGCTCGGGGTCGACGCCTTGGCGTCACTCCTTCTACTGGTCTACGCCGGGGAGGCATTTTACATCTACATTGCTGTCTAGCCTTTCAAAGTCAAACCTGACTTCTAGATCTATATTGCTTTAGATTAGGTCTGCCTTGATTAACTCCTCTCTTGATCTACATTGTTTTAGTGTATTGCTGTCTAGCCCTTCACAATAACAAAATACGGGTTTCGCCTTATAACATCACAACAAAGCACAAAGAAAATAATAATCCACGAAAGGGCTGCTACACGGTGAAAGGAACACATCGACGTCTTCAAAACAACAGAGGCAGTGTCTATAGCTTGTTCACTTTCCGTTTTAAAAAATCCTGGCTCATTGGTAAATTTACCTATGCCCGCTAAAAGTTTGCATTGCACTTCTACCGGCTAGCGATCAAACAAAAATATTTTTTCAAAATACCATGACCCAGTAATTTAAAAAGTTTTTTTCTGTCGGCCCTATATAAAAAAAAACAACTCTTTGGATGCATACACAGGATCACGTCTCCACGTACTACAGGTGAGTCTCGGAAATTACTCACCCCGTCCCTTGAATCGTGTTTCTTAGGCGAACGTTAAAGAGCGCTAATGAACTTCCGTTGTGAAGGAGAGCTACGCAGATTTGTTTCGTTTCTCAGTAGAATAATCACAAAGGCCAAATAAGGGAACTTTTTCTCAAATATATTTGTCTGAATTCAGGAAATGAATAAATCAAAAATCGGGTTCTGTCATGGGGACCTATCTATCTTTTTGCAGGTACTTGCCAACTGTAGCTGTCAGAGTTTTATGGGAAAAGTTACACATGTGTTTCCAAGTTGTCAAATTATGTTTATTTATTTATTTATTTATTTATTTATTTATTTGATATATTTTATATATATATTATATATATATTATTTATATATGATATGTATAGAGAGAGAGCATGTTTGTGCCTTTGTGTGTGTGTGTGTGTGTGTGTGTGTGTGTGTGTGTGTGTGTGTGTGTGTGTGTGTGTGTTCGAACGTACGTCCGTGTGTGTGTGAGTGCATGTGTACGCATTTGCATGCACGCACGTGTTTTGGAGTGGGTTTTTTAAAATTTTTAATAAGTGTTTTACGGCGCTCGCAACTGCATAATATGGTCATATGAGCGCCCGGGACACATTTAACTTTTTCAGTTGGTAGGAAATTTTTAATTTTTGCCCAGGTGGCGGCTGAAGCCTACTCTTGTCGATTTTAGACCACCAAGGAATCTTCAACGTGCGCAACTTGCACACGGTTTGGATTGTGTCTGCTTTTAAACATAAAAACTAAACACATCTATTTACCTGCAGTCCTTCTGTCACAGAGTTCAAGGGACCAACAAGTAGAACAAGAGCGAAGATGAACTGCATTGTTGCGTTCAAAGTACAGAAAATGATAACTTGTGAGAGAATAGCGCGTTCACAGTTATTTTATACTCGTATTTATACTCATCTCTCCCCATTACACGTCCCTTATTTCTCCTTCCTACTTTTGTCCCCTCCCCCACCCCCACCCCCCCCCCCCTCTGCTTTCAATCTCTCTCTCTCTCTCTCTCTCTATATATATATATATATATATATATATATATATATATATATATATATATATACATATATATATATATATATATATATATATATATATATATATCTATGTCTCTTTCTCGTTCTCCCTCTTCTGTGCTTCTACCCCCCTCTCTAACTCGCTCTTAATCACTCTCTGTTTCTGTAATAATGGGGACATGAGGTCTGATTCATGACGTTCATGAAATTAGCTGTGCTGGACAGTAATTGTCATCTCTCTCTCTCTCTCTCTCTCTCTCTCTCTCTCTCTCTCTCTCTCTCTCTCTCTCTCTCTCTCTCTCTCTCTCTCTCTCTCTCTCTCTCTCTCTCTCTCTCTCTCTCTCTCTCTCTTTATCTCTGTCTGTTCATGCACCTTTCTCTTCCTGTCTATCCGTATGCACCTATCCATCTGTGCATCTTCCTGCGCCCTTTTTATGTAATGTATACATATATATATATATATATATATATATATATATATATATATATATATATATATATATTCTACTCAAAAATGTTACGGACCACTCAAAGCCACACATAGTACATAAAACTGAAAAACATGACACGGTTCAAAATTGTTTGAAAGGGGTCTTTATTCATCCTTTCACCTTTTGCAAACGACATTTTGCACATTAAAATTGTTTTTATGGAAAAAGGGTTATTTCAGATGTTGAAGGAGGTAACCCATGTTTTTTTTAAATTCACATGACAGCCGTCATAAACAATTAGGGCTCAAAATCGCACTTGGCCACCATTTGCAAGAAAACGGTCATTGCATCTTTGTCTCAAGGACTGAATAAATGTTTGCAATGACAGTTGTGGAATGGCTTGCCCATTTTGGTCCAAAATGTTAGAGAGTTCATCCACATTGTTTGGGGGTGGCTGATGGTCTCTTACTTGGCGCTCAAGAGCATCCCACAAGTGTTCAGTGGGACTAAGGTCTGGTGATCGGGCTGGCCTGTCAAGCCTGATCACGTGCTGCAGCTGCAGGAAGCCATCCACCACTCGAGCGCGGTGAGGTCTGGCGTTGTCGTCCTGGAGTATCGCGCCCTTGCCCATTGCCCGAAGATCTGGAATTGCAATGGGGCGGAGAATCTCGTCCCTGTAGCAGATACCCGTCAGAGTGCTTTGAAAGCGATGCAGGGGGGTCCGGTGGTTGATTCCAATCCCACCCCACACTATAACGGAGCCTCCTCCATACCTGTCATGCTCCTGTACACAATCGTCGTGGAAGCGCTCACCAGGACGCCTCCAAACACGGATCTTGTCATCATTGAAGGACAATGTGAACATGGAGACATCCGTGAAGAGCACAGTAGATCAGAGCGGGCGTGTCCACCTCAGGTGCTGGGCGGACCAGGTTCTGCGAGCAATCCGGTGGGCCCGTGTCCGTGGAACCGGACTGCTGGTCGTCTGGAGCGTAGACCAATCTCACGAAGCCGGTTTCTAATGGTCTGGTCGCTGATTCCAACGTTGCCTGGGGGTACCACCTGCTGTCTGATGTGACGGGCAGTGCAGGTTCGAGTTGCCAGGGCTGATTTGGCGATCGCCCGGTCCTCTCGTCGTATGGTGCAACGTGGCCGTCCGGATCGCCTTCACTCAACAGCAGTCCCAGTTGCAGAAACCCGTTCTCTCAGTCAGATGATCACACAGTGACTTACAGCAAGCCGTCTTGCCACTTCATGGACTGCAATAGGGCTCGTCCCCTGTCGATGTTGCTCAGACGTCTTCTTGGGGGCATTGTTCAAAATCGCTTAATGTGCCTGCAACAAAAACCCCTAACACTGTCAAATTCTCTCAATCAGGCATTAATGTAGGAAGCGTGAATTCCCCTGAGTTGGTTTTTAACCTGTACCACTCACTGAAAATCGCGTGATTGATTTTCAAAATCAGGTTCAATTTTACAGAAAATTATCCCTCTTTCACCCTGTCTCGGCAGCGTAAATTAAACGACATGTGTCAAATCTGTTCATCATGGTAAACATCGATGACCCTTCCTTACAATGACATCAACTAACTCACCTAACTTCTAAATATGTGATTGTCACACAGTCGCAAACATACTATAGTGAAAACTGTAGTGGTCCCTAACTATATTATACATACATATATACATTATATATATATATATATATATATATATATATATATATATATATATATATATATATATATATATATAGCCCCTTAATTTTACGTGTATAAGGACTTGCAATTCATTCAAAAGACAAAATATTTTAAGAGTGGAGTCTGTTGGGTACAGCTTTATTGTTTGAATACGACCACGCTTGCTTAGAGTTATAAGCACACTCTTCCTCATGAATACTCTCTCTCTCTCTCTCTCTCTCTCTCTCTCTCTCTCTCTCTCTCTCTCTCTTTCTTTCTTTCTCTCTCTCTCTTTCTCTCTCTCTGTCTCTCTCTCTCTCTCCATCACTCCTTCTCTGTATTCCCCTCTCTCTCTTTTTACTTGTGTGCATGTGTGTATGTGTGTGTTTCTGTGTATGTGTTTGTGTGTGTGTGTGATTGTGTCTGTGTGAGTGTGTGTGTGTGTGTGTGTGTGTGTGTGAGTGTGTGTGTGTGTGTGTGTGTGTGTGTGTGTGTTTGTGTGTGTGTAACCCCCTAAGTTGTATTATACACTCGCATACATGCACACACATACACATATTATTCTTACACATACATACATGCACCGACATTCTCCCCTACTTATAAACCAATTTTCATCCGGGTTTTTTTTCTTACTTCACATGCAGTGACACCTCCAGACAGAGCTCTAATTATGTCCTTGAGCAAAACTGTCGATCTTGTAAAAGCTTTGGTTTTATGGTAATGGAAGCAACACTTTAACAGAGGGTCTGAAGAAACGACTTTCAATTGCATATTACATCTTTTTCAGTTGAACTTTCAAGACAAAACTTTTCCCTCATATCCATAAAATCGCGTAGATCTCCAGGCAGTCATGCATCAGAGCAATGTACATGATCCGCTCTTCTGTGCCTTATCGCGGTGGTCTTTTTTCACCTGCGTGTCTTCTTCGCTTGGTTTTTGTGCACCTGTGTGATAAGGGATAGAGAGACAGTTAATTTAAAGAAGCGCATGTTGATTCTTTTATGAACCCCTACTGGAAGATTATCCAGATTCACATAGGTTTTCATTACAATAAATACAAAACGTAAGACAAATTTATTCTAGTTTGAAGGAATGGGGCGGGGGGGGGGTGAGAGTTTCGGTCTGGAGAGGGGCATATTTAGGGAACAACTTGACTTTCGCAACACAAATAATTTTTATTTTGATTCGTAATTTTACAAATACTGTTGGAGTCTCTCGGTATCTCAGGACATTACTTTTCCTGTGAGAAAAATAGCCTGGAAATAAAACGAATATGCAAGACAATATGGATAGAAAAACAGCTGGTACTTCGGATTTTCTCCGCATTTTGGCTTAGTGCAGGGATTGCTTATTAATCAGTCTCTTGAAAATATTACTGTAAATTGCACTGCTCACTGTTGTGCTTTCGAAAGTGAGTAAAGATTAAGTAACGATTAACACTTACACAGGATGAATGTAAAATTGAACTGACATGTTCATATGCCTCTGATTGTCTCCAAACAGATTTTTTTTTTTCAAAAGACCTTCCCAAACCCCTAGAACACTGATCTAGAATTAATGCTAGTCCCTGTCATTGTCTTGATCTAATCAACAACAGGCTATTCACCGGCCAACGACAGACATTGACAATGTCATTGCAACCAAAGCCTGGTCTCTATTGATTACTTCTCTAAACATTTTGAATGCAGTAAACACGGGCGGAACAAGCAACTCAATAATGCCAGAAAAAGCGAATGATATACATTTGTATTTACCTCTTGTACCCAGAGACGAACAGTTTCAAAACCTTCTTTCCCCTCTAACACTTTCTATCTGCTATGTTGCAAAGAAAAGTCGTGACTGTAATTTGTTATAAGTGCTGTAAAGTAGAAGCCTATCCTGTCCTGGATCGGAATCTAAATTAACCTTTGGAGAACAAGATCGCCACTGTCATTCCACAATCACCCAAATCAATCTCTGAGGGCTTCCAGATAAAGTCGTCATTCGAATAAAGACAACAAGGGGCACCCTACAATAGTTTCATTTTATTCGAATAAACACACTATGGGGCAGTTACATTCTGTTTCATTACTTCCTTCCAAGTTTTAATTGAAAGAAATAACGAGTGCCCAAGTCATGGTCCTGATTTAGTCGCTGTCTTTTTCTTAAAGTTTATCCAAACTTCAATAAATGATCTAAGCACTTCTGGAATGACGATATCTGCTCAAGGCTTTGGGGTAACCTTGCTATTAGTAGACACAGGAGTAAAGGTAACACCATCTCAAGCCTGTCTAAACAGAAATAAAGACCTCAGACAAGATCCTCAGCTTTCAATAAGGTCATGCACTTCAAGATTGATCCATGACAGGCATGATCTTTTTGATAACGTCGGTTACCGCATGCAAGTGACAAAGTTGTTACAGTCTAAGACGAAGCAAAAGGTTTATGTTCGAAGATACACCGTACTAAAAGTGTAAAAGTAAGAGACATTTATATTTTCTTAGAACGTTATAATGTGATTTATCAGCTGTTAGTTCTGGTAGCAGCTCTGAACTTCAATTGTTGCTTCCATAAGAGCACGGTAAAGCAATCCCACTCACAGTCCTTTTAGTAAGGTTTTTCGACGCTCGCAGCTGCATAGGGTCATATGAACGCCAAGGGGTGGATGTCAACAGAGACGTCCAAAAGTAAAACGGGAATTAGGCTTACTCTGCTCACCTCTCTAGCCTCAACGGCACAAAGTCTGCTGCTTCGTCTATCAAGGCACCTCGACAATAGCAGTTCACAAGACAGTGACAAACATACAGAAGAAGTAGAGGAAAAATGAAGACAGTAAGAATAAGGAAAGAAAAAGCAGAGGTTCCCCCTATGTTGTTCCGGCACAGTATAAGCATGACATTGATAAATCAGCCCATTTGCAATTCTACTGAGCTTAGGAACATGTTAATGTCCCCCCTTTGGGCAACTTCCAGTCTGTTCACAGGAAGAGCAATAAGTGATAAATACGTTGATGACCTGAGTTGACCGACCTTGTCATAAATGCTGAAAGAGTAAATAGCTAACTACCATCATTATCTGTACCCATGGACCAGAGCAAAATTACAGTCATTAGTTTCGCTTTCTTACATTATAATTTTGCAGGTTGACGTCCTCGCTGCTCATGATAATGGGACAGTAAATGAGTCAAGTAGCCCAACAGCACACACACATAAATGTGTCCATTGGGAATAAGAGTTGTCCATTTCGAAATGTTATCAAAACTGACCCATTGTTTCCACAGAATAAAGCTTTTGCTCCCAAGCCGTGATTTTGGAGAATTTTGCTCTGCTCGTAAGTGGAACAGAAATATAATTCAAATGTTTTATTTTTCTGAATACTGAAAAACAGATCCCCCCCCCCCCCCTCAAAACTACTCAAAGAGTATTAGAGTTTCTGAAGGCACAAATATCTGCTCTCTGGAGTATGTGGGTGATTTTTTACGCTGATGTCGCGTCAAAGTGTTGTTTTCCTCTTTTTCTTTTTTCTTTCCTTCTTTCTCGGGTGGAGAAAAGAATAAAGGAGAGTGTGTGTGTGGGGGGGGGGGGGGGATTCTAAATACCCCATTTTGGTAAAGAGTCTGTGTTGGCTTTTATAATGATATACTAATAGATGTATTTGTACAAGTTTGTGTGTGTGTGTGTGTGTGTGTGTGTGTGTGTGTGTGTGTGTGTGTGTGTGTATGTGTGTATGAGGTTGAGTGTATATATTTACGTGTCTGTGTAAGTGTAAGTCTGTCACAGAGAGAGAGAGAGAGAGAGAGAGAGAGAGAGAGAGAGAGAGAGAGAGAGAGTGAGAGAAAGAGAGAGAGACAGACAGACAGACAGACAGAGACAGAGACAGACAGAGACAGAGACAGAGAGGGGAGAGGGCTAAAATGGATTTAAAGTAGCTAACCTGGTTTAAACCTTACCTTTTAGTAGATTTGGGGGAATAAGTAAAGATACATTCAATTCTCCTTTTCAGCTTCGCTTATCCTCTGGCGATATAGGGGTTGCACGGCACAATTAAGACCACTTTGAAGGCAGGCTGCTGTGGCCCAGGACTAAACGGGAACAGAATTCCAGCAGGACTAAACGGGGTGCAGAATTCCAGGAGGACTAAACGGGATACAGAATTCAAGCAGTACTAAACGGGATACAAAATTCCAGCAGAAAGACAGAGATCCCTGATTTAAAAAAATTAATAAACTTCCCTGCGAGCTCATGCCTTTTGGGTGCTATCGTGAGGGTGCTAACCATTCCACCTCAGACATGACTGAGTCTTCTGGTGTTAACCCTATCCTTACGTCGTGTTTTACTATCGTATCCATACGACGTGGGAAACTCTGTGCCACCACTTTCAAAGAGGACATTTACTCGTTAATCCGATCCGTACGCTTTGCATAGCAGTCTGTCAAAAGGATTTTTTGAGAAATGCTAAACGTTTCAAAGAGATCTTCGTACTAAACGTATTCTAAAATGTGAAGAATTCAACCCGAGGGTACAAAACGACCCCAGGGCGTACCGGCAGGGTTAAGATACAGGGGAAATTCCGAACTCGGAATACAGCGACATATTTATAAACAGAACTCACTTTGGCTCTGGCGTCTTGAGGTCTTCAGAGCTGTGACGTCGTCATGCAGTGCCTTCAACTCGGCGTTCAATCCTTGAAGATGCTGTTCTATATCTTTAGGGTATCCGATTTTTTCTGGGGAGCTGCTAGCCCGAGATACAGAAGGTCTAAGACCACTTTGGTTGTTGTCGGAGCGGCGAGGGGAATGCGTGCTTGCCATCATTGTGTGTCCATTAGTGGGCGTGGTGAAAGTATCCGGGGTTGTTCTGATGAGGGGGTCGCTGTTGCCGATGTGCCCACGAGGTGAAAAGTGTGATTTTTTAATGAAAGTTTTGTCAAAGTCAAGGGCTTGTTGGTGCTTCATTTGTTCCTGTGGATGAAAAATGTATCTATATCAAGAAAAGTCAACTGATCTAAACTTATAGAACAATATCCAGTACTGAGTGCATCTGACGTCTTCAGAATGCTATACTTTGACGCCCCCCCCCCCCCCCACTTATTACACACACACACACACACACACACACACACACACCATACATAGACTTCTAGTCTTCAAGATAACAAATAAGCTTACGAACGGAAAGAGGTCTCATCTATTTGGGCTCTGACAAAATGACGGAGACAGTTTGGGCTGTGAGGATAGGTCACGAAGGCGCACGATCAGAGCCCTTTCGTCTTCATCATTATTTCCTCAAAAGTATGCCAGTCGCCAGTGTAAAGAAACGAAACAAAACTCACCATCCTGCTGCTCCTTTCATAAGACTCTCGGTCCTTCTCCATCCCTGTCCGGATGAATAGCTCGGTCTCATTCAGTTTGTTGCTTACGTGGTTGTAGCCAAAGTTCTCTAAGGTTCGCACAAAGGTAGGGTAAGCCTTGTGTCCTCTCCGCTGAAGTGTCCGGACCAGGAGTCGGGTAACAGCTCTCTCGCCTTGGCCTTCAGTCCTAATGAAAAATGATGTAGTAGTAGTAGTAGTAGTAGTAGTAGTAGTAGTAGTAGTAGTAGTAGTAGTAGTAGTAGTAGTAGTAGTAGTAGTAGTAGTAGTAGTTCTTGTCATTGTTGTTGTTGGTGTTGTCATTGTTGTCTTCGTCGCTTTTGTTGTTGCTGTTGTATGCTATTGTTTGCTGATGTTGTTTTGTTGCCATTACTTTGGTTGTTATCGTCTTTCTCATTATTTTTGTTGGGGGCTCTCGTGGCCTAGAGGTTAAGGTGTTGGCCTCTCACTCAAAAGGTCCCGGGTTGACAAGAAGCAAATTTCTATATTCACGATGACAAAGGGGTTCTCGTAGCCTAGAGGTTAAGGTGTTGGCCTCTCATTCAAAGTTGAATCAAAGGTCCCGGGTTCGAATCCGGGTAGTGACCGAAAAATTTTCTTCACTAAATTTGTCTTCTTTCACCTCCTTTCCTGCTCTCTAGCAATGTTCTGTCGTCTGCTTTCGTCTCCTCCTTCTGCCCCCACCCCCACACCCCCGTACCATTAACACGTCATCCCTGTACAGACATAGAGGTGCGCTTCAACTACCTCTCACGTCAATTGTGGAGATCTACAAAGCAGGCAAGATTAGAACCGTTTTGATGTTGAGAGAATCAAGGGATAAGGAGATCAGTGGAAAACCTCCAGATGTCAAAACAGCCAGAAAGTGGAAGGCAGAAGTTGCAGCTAACGAGATCATCTCTGCATTGGAGCATGGGGACATTGTCGGTCCAGCGCAACCTGACAGATTAGGGCTAGGTAATGGCGACTTTAGACCTTTCAGGAAAATGTCTCAGCGAGACAGAAGAAAAGCTGCAACAAGACATATGCAAAAGATGGAGGCAGAGAGGCGAGAAATTCATCTCATCCAGTGTAGCCAGCAAGGACAAATGACCAGATGGGAAGAGCATGTTGTGGAAAGAAAAGTCGGGTGGAGTGACATCTGGAAGTGGAATACATCAAGGCTGAGCTTTCTTCTCCGGTCTACGTATGATGTTCTGCCTTCACCGGTGAACCTTGTCAGATGGAAGGTACAGGAGGACAACAAGTGTAGATGCGGTAAGCTAGGAACCATGAAGCATATTTTGTCAAACTGCAACCTAGCTCTTAACAGATACACCTGGAGACACAACGAGGTGTTGAAAGTGCTCACGAAAATGGCGACACAACAGGTGGAAGAAGGAAAATATGCCCCCAAGATACAGAAGCATGGACCCACCAAGATTGCGTTCGTTCCGCAAGGAAGCAAGGTTGCCAAAAGAAAGAAAGCGAACGAAGCCATGAAAGACCAGAGCGGAGGCACATGGGAAGTAGCTGCTGACTTAAAAGGCTTTGAGAGATTCTTCCCCATTCCAACTACGAAAAAGCCAGACATTGTTATATGGGAGGAAAAAGACAAAGAGGTACACTTGGTAGAGCTCACGGTGCCCCACGAGGACAATATCTATGCCGCTCATGAGCGGAAAGAAAACCGTTACGAGGCACTCGTCGAACAATGTGAGGAGGCAGGATGGAAGGCAACCCATTTTCCGGTAGAGGTAGGATGCAGAAGTTTTGTAGCAACAAGCGCCCGTAAGTGGATGAGAGTGGCAGGACTTACTGCAAAGAAAAGCAACGAACTCACAAACTCCCTTCAGGAGACAGCAGAGAAAGCCAGTCATTGGATCTGGTTGAAGCGAGAGGACTCAACCTGGAATGAATCCTTAAGTTGGCAGCAGAGGAAAACAGTCGAACTAACATGGAGACCTCACATCGGTGAGGGGGCTCGGTGCGTCAGAAAAGCTGTAGAGAGGAAGAGCCCGAAACAGCGACGCATTCTCTCCTGATGATCTCCCTGCTAGAGTCCGGGATACGGAGCGTTCGACGGTGAGCAGTGCATACGGCTGTTTAGACTACGTACCTACCAGTAGCAGGTGTATGCTACGGACATCCTGGAAAGACAGGACGACAACCCGGAGTGACGGGTGGACATCGGGAAAGACCGAGGACGTCGGGAAAGACCGACGGTGGCAGGGGCTAACTACCCAGGTCACTGTAAATATAAGTTACGTCAACCAATAGAAAAGACAGCCCCGGGATCCACCGAGAGGGGGGAGTAGAGGATGGATCCACAAGGACGGATTCAATGGACAATGACCTAAGCGTTAAAAGGACAATGCAGAAAGAGAATCAAGAGAACAGCTTTATGTGCGAGCAGTGCTACAGAAAGTTCGATACCTGGCGAGGGCTGAGAGTGCACCAGGGAAAGGTCTGTTTAAAGAAGAGAAGACAGTGCAGATCGTCAGATTGTAAGACGCGAAGCAAATCATCCCAGGATGAAAACCACAGCGGAGCGATTAGTGCTTCAGTCGACTCTCCTTTCACCCTGTCTCAGCAAGAGATGGAACAGCAAACGGAACCAGGGTTACGGAAACCCAGAATACTGTGGCCTGCTGCTAACGAGAAGGCAAAATACAAGACGTTAGAAGAAGAAGTCCAGAAGAAATTGAAAGAAGTCAAAAAGAGTTCTAACAGAGGGGATGCTAAAGAAATATTGAGTGCGTTTGCGACCATTATCTATGACTCGGCAATAAAAGAGTTTGGTATTTGTGAAGGAAAGAAAAAGACGGAGAAGAAAAGTGGATTGAGTAGAAGGCAGAGAGTACTTGCACAGCTAAGAAAACAGAAACGAGACTTGCAAAAGCAGAAAAAGTACGCACCACCAGAAGAGATAGAAGGCCTAAGAATCTTGTTTGAAGATCTTAAGAAAAAGAGCAGAGACCTACAGAGGCACGAAAGAAGGTGTACCAGGAGAAAAGAGAGAAAAAGGGAACGTGAACAATTTCTGAAGAATCCTTATGAAGCAGCAAAAAAACTGTTCACAGAGGCACGGAGTGGTAAATTGGAATGTACGAAAGAGGAACTCGATGCTTATGTTAAGCAGACGTACAGCGATTCAAGAAGAGAAGAACCGCTTCCTTATATGAGAGGCCTGAAGCGTCCAGCTGCCCCCGTCGTCAAATATTACCTGGGACCAATTAGAGAGAAAGAAGTAGATGAGTTCGTAAAAAAAGCCAGAGCAAAAAGTGCACCTGGAGGAGATGGCGTGTCTTATAAGGTGTTCAAGTATTGCGACACGCTGAGACACACCCTCTTTGAGATGCTAAGAGGCCTTTGGAAAGACAAAGAAATCGTCAAAGATTGGTGCAGAGCGGAGGGCGTGTATCTACCCAAAGAACAGAATGCAAAGGAGATAGGACAGTTCAGACCTATTTCAATCATCAACGTGACGTGCAAGATCTTTATGGGAATACTTGCAAAGAGGACTGTAGCATATTTGCAAAGTAACGGCTATGTGGATGAAACGGTACAGAAAGCCGGGGTACCAGGGATCCCAGGCTGCATCGAGCATGCTTTCACCATTTGGGACACAATCCAAGAGGCCAAGAAAAACAAGAAAAGTTTAAACGTAGTGTGGTTGGATCTGGCGAATGCCTACGGGTCTGTTCCCCATAAATTGCTGATGAAGGCAATGGATTTTTTCTACGTCCCACAAGAGGGGCAAAACATTATGAGAGAATACTATAGTAACTTCCAGATGCGATTCTCAACCGCAAATTTCACAACGGAATGGCACCGACTAGAGATTGGGATTGCAGCTGGCTGCTCTATATCGGTCATCTGGTTCATCCTGGTAATGGAGATGCTACTGAGATCTGCAGAATGCTGTGAAGAAGAAGCAAAGGTGAGATCACCAAAGAAAGCCTTTATGGATGATGTGACCCTACTGACAAGAGATGGAGACACAATGCAAAGTGTGTTGAATCGGCTCGATAAGCTTATCACCTGGGCCAGGATGAAGTTTAAAGCTAAAAAGTCTAGAAGCCTGACTATTAACAAAGGAAAACAGAAGCAACTGAAGTTCACAATTGCAGGGGAGCAAATGCCCACAGTAAAAGAACAACCCGTGAAAAGTTTGGGTCGGTGGTACTCAGGAACTCTGTCTGATAGGAGTCAAGGCGTGGAAATCATGAAGCAGGCTGAAAATGGGCTGAAAGCAATTGACCAGACAAAGCTTCCAGGAAAGCACAAGATATGGTGTCTACAGTTTGCCCTCTACCCTCGATTGGCGTGGCCACTGACAATGTATGAAGTTGCTTTGTCAAGAGTTGAGATGATCGAAAGAAAGTGTAACAGCTACATCAGGAAGTGGCTGGGGCTACCCCGTACCATTAACACGTCATCCCTGTACAGACATAGAGGTGCGCTTCAACTACCTCTCACGTCAATTGTGGAGATCTACAAAGCAGGCAAGATTAGAACCGTTTTGATGTTGAGAGAATCAAGGGATAAGGAGATCAGTGGAAAACCTCCAGATGTCAAAACAGCCAGAAAGTGGAAGGCAGAAGTTGCAGCTAACGAGATCATCTCTGCATTGGAGCATGGGGACATTGTCGGTCCAGCGCAACCTGACAGATTAGGGCTAGGTAATGGTGACTTTAGACCTTTCAGGAAAATGTCTCAGCGAGACAGAAGAAAAGCTGCAACAAGACATATGCAAAAGATGGAGGCAGAGAGGCGAGAAATTCATCTCATCCAGTGTAGCCAGCAAGGACAAATGACCAGATGGGAAGAGCATGTTGTGGAAAGAAAAGTCGGGTGGAGTGACATCTGGAAGTGGAATACATCAAGGCTGAGCTTTCTTCTCCGGTCTACGTATGATGTTCTGCCTTCACCGGTGAACCTTGTCAGATGGAAGGTACAGGAGGACAACAAGTGTAGATGCGGTAAGCTAGGAACCATGAAGCATATTTTGTCAAACTGCAACCTAGCTCTTAACAGATACACCTGGAGACACAACGAGGTGTTGAAAGTGCTCACGAAAATGGCGACACAACAGGTGGAAGAAGGAAAATATGCCCCCAAGATACAGAAGCATGGACCCACCAAGATTGCGTTCGTTCCGCAAGGAAGCAAGGTTGCCAAAAGAAAGAAAGCGAACGAAGCCATGAAAGACCAGAGCGGAGGCACATGGGAAGTAGCTGCTGACTTAAAAGGCTTTGAGAGATTCTTCCCCATTCCAACTACGAAAAAGCCAGACATTGTTATATGGGAGGAAAAAGACAAAGAGGTACACTTGGTAGAGCTCACGGTGCCCCACGAGGACAATATCTATGCCGCTCATGAGCGGAAAGAAAACCGTTACGAGGCACTCGTCGAACAATGTGAGGAGGCAGGATGGAAGGCAACCCATTTTCCGGTAGAGGTAGGATGCAGAGGTTTTGTAGCAACAAGCGCCCGTAAGTGGATGAGAGTGGCAGGACTTACTGCAAAGAAAAGCAACGAACTCACAAACTCCCTTCAGGAGACAGCAGAGAAAGCCAGTCATTGGATCTGGTTGAAGCGAGAGGACTCAACCTGGAATGAATCCTTAAGTTGGCAGCAGAGGAAAACAGTCGAACTAACATGGAGACCTCACATCGGTGAGGGGGCTCGGTGCGTCAGAAAAGCTGTAGAGAGGAAGAGCCCGAAACAGCGACGCATTCTCTCCTGATGATCTCCCTGCTAGAGTCCGGGATACGGAGCGTTCGACGGTGAGCAGTGCATACGGCTGTTTAGACTACGTACTGATGCATGCATATGTTTGCTGCTGGCGTCTGCGGTGGCGGTTGGCACGACGCACGTAGATCTGAAGTTTTTATATTAGTCTCAACATAGCTGATGTTCTAGTGTTAGGGAATAAAAAGGTTCAAAAGAAGAAGAAAAGCACGAACCATAGCTCATAATAGCTCGTACGTCGATATCTAACGATGACCAATACATCCGTAGTGGATAATACTCTTTGTTGGGTTTTTTGGGGTTTTTTAAAGTTTTTTTTACGGCGCTTGCAACTGCATAAGGTCATATGAACGCGCAGGGCACTTTTAACATTTTCGAGTTGGTAGGAAATTTTGAATTTTGCCCGAGTGGCGGCCAAAGCCGAGGGATCTTTTATCGTGCACAACGGGACCTCTGACATTTTTGCCGTTATCCTAGAAGGCTAGGTGTAAGATCTTACCTACAATAAGATCAGGGGTGTGATGAAGACAGCAGTGAGAAGGAACCGAGTAGTAGCAGTAGAATGGCCACAGAAAGAGTCAGGAGCCCAAAGGAGGGGGCAAAGGGGAGGGGGTAGGGGGCAGAAAGTGGAGACGAAGGCTGACGACAAAATATGGTTAGAGAGCAGGAAAGGAGGTGACAGTAGAAAGCTTTGAAGAAGAAAATTTCCATCGCTGTCCGGATTCGAACCCGGGACCTATTGAATGAGAGGCAAACTACAAACCTCTAGACCACGAGAGCCCCAAGAATAATAATATACTTATTTTCAAATAGAAGAATTAAAGCTAAAGATGACTTTGGGCTTCTGGTATGGCCAACGAAACCGATTCTGGCCGAGAATCACCACTAATGAATCCGTAATTATCTTCGCGGATTGCAGCGCAAAGAATGGTTGTGATGATACAATATGGGGTACACGTTGTTTCAAAGCTATTTTACACAGGATGGGAGGAAACTCATTCAAGCTTGGAAATACATTGAATTGTTGTTTTTATCCCTCTTCCAACACAGAATGTGGCTCCAAATTATCTTTTTGGTCGATGGGAAAACTGTGTAGGGCTAAGTATTAGAAGAATACCACATACTTTACTTTACTTTACTTTTCCGATCAAGCGGCCATTTGGGTTCTAGCCCTTCGGTCTGAAGAATACCACATAAAAGAGCTGATTTAGTGCATTCCAACAATAAAGTACTGTCAAACCTGTTCTCGAAATTTGACACTAACATAACACTACAGAAATGTTTTCATTTTTTTTTCAGAAGAATTAAAAAGACTATACTAAACCTGAAAAAAGTATGGCTGATAAATGCTTTCTATAAGTGGTTTCAGTTAAGCATTTGATGGATTGTCACAGTGAGTAACTAATCCTTATCCTGTTCTGACGCAGCCTCCGAATTCAAAATGGCCGAATAATGTGTGTGTTGGAGCGTTACTCTGCTACCATATAAACTAAAGTTCTTATCAACTACCTGGTCAGCTGGTTGTAGTCCATCAGGGTGAGGACTTCCTCTTCGTACAGCTTCTTGATGAGGTCGCGAGGTGTCAGATTCTCCTCGATGAAGCTGAGCTCGTGGTCGAGGGCTTCCTTGTGAGACGAGCGCATGGGCTGCACGCGCCACTTGACGGGGTCCAGGCTAATGAGATCTGACTGGGCGTAGTCTGCGTAGGGCAAGAGGAGGGTACCAGGCTGCTCGCGGTAGTTCTTGTCTTGGGGATCTGGGGATGTTGAAGACAAACACAGATGATAATATTAATAATAATAGTAAGTTCTGAATTCTTTCTCCATTCTCCTTTATTACGTTTTGTGGGGTTGAGGGTGGTGTGTTTGTTCTGTTTTCTTTTGTTTTATGATTGTTGTTGTACGAGTATGTAATGTATGATTTTGTTGCTATTTGTTTGTTGATGAGAGAAATCATGATAACAGACATAAAAATCACAAAAGCCTTTTAATTTGCTGAGGTCAATTGGATTGAAAACCAAGAGAGTAAAATGTTTACTGAAAAAGTTTTGTACTAAAGGAATTTGAAAGGAACGCTTTAAAGCTGATACACATGATACAGCCGGCCGCCAAGTCTGTTCAGACTTACTTATAGACTAACGTTATTACAATTATTCTTTTCCAGCTTTGAAACAAGTCAGCATTTTGACTTTGACAAGACTCCAGCGACTAAAACACAGCGCATTTTACGATAATGATGGACTGGACGGTTGGCTGCAGTAACAGGAATAAAAAGTTTAATAAGAGGCCAGGCCTGTTAAAGTATTTGCGCTTAAAAGGTAATAACGACAATAGCAGTGTGTGTGTGTGTGGATGGATAGTTTTGAACTTGGGTGTTCCTCAATGTTGACACTGCTCTCTTTCGGGGTTGACGAATAATTTACTGGGAGCCCCGGGCACAAGATTAATGAAAATAGCCTTGACAACAAGGTGTCCATCAACAGTTGCGACCAACAAGGAAAAAATACCAGAAAAAGAACACAATACAAATGAAGGGGGTATAGTGTGTTGAAAGCCATCTATTGTTCTCTGTTTATATCTTTGAACTGCTCGACAAAATAATGGTAGCCGTACCGGTTTCGATAGTAACATCATTGTAGCAATAAGAGCAGCAGAAAAGTAATAACGCGAACTGAAACAATATTTACTACAACCTCTAACGTAACAAGGGTAACAGCAACAGAAAAAAGACCAACAATGTGGGCAGAAACAAATTAATATGCCACAACATCAACGCAACAGAAACGCAGCCGAGCAGAACACTTTTTGTCCAGACTTACTGGGGTCGGAGAAGAGACGTATAAGGGTACTGTCCAGTTTGGTAGCAGAGATTAGTAGATTGTCGTCCACAATGTCGCCATGGTAGTAGGAGGAGCCACGGGACAAAGCATTTAGGCGGGAAACGTAGCGTCTGTCCATCTTGGAACTGAAAAGTTCAGGTTGAATATATTCGTACAGACAAGCCGATGGTAAAGTGTTTTAAAGATGACAAACTTGTATTGCACAAAACGGTTGGTTCTGAAGTCAAACTGTAGGTCGCTAAGTCCCAAGAAGGTGACGAAGATGGTGGTTAGAGAGAGAGAGAGAGAGAGAGAGAGAGAGAGAGAGAGAGAGAGAGAGAGAAAGGAGGGGGGCATACTGGTTTTCTTGTTCTAAGGTTTTATTGTTATAGCCCCTTTCGCGCATTCATATTGCATATTGGCCAGGGGAAAGATAAGGTAACTCTGGCATTCGGTGAATTAATGATGTTCTATGTTTTGAAAAAATTAGGGAAACCACTGACCATACCTACGATATCGATAGAAAGTACTATAATGATTTCTCAGGCTGGATCCTCAGTACACATGGGTTTTACCTCAGTTTCTAATTTTTTAGGAAGGCTAAAAAGCAAATTAGGGATATGGCAACCGTTATACCGAAAAAGGAAACAATAAATCAAGAGAAAAGTCTATCAAAAGCAAAATCCACGAACTCTTTTTGGCAGTTTTCAAACAAATATACAGTGCACACTGCCAGTCGAATTCAGTCGAATTAAGCCGTGGCCAACCAGATTTTCCTCCATAGAGGGGCAAAAGATGCAATTTTTGGCACAATTTTATCAAATCCTCCAAAATCAAAGATGGTTCTTTTTGGCAGTTTGCATCAAATCGTGCCAAAAAGGCAGCTTTTGCCCCTCAATGAAGGAAATCCCAGCCTGCCCTGACGGTATCCAATGAAGAAAATGCATCAAATGAGCGATGCGCACTGGGTAATTGAGACCGGTAGGTTTGTTTTTGGTTTGTAGGCGTCATTGTACGGGTTGTTTTGGAGGTCAGCTTCTTCATCTTCATAATTTATACAATGGTCTCAACACAGTGCCTCTTTCCCTTTAATTCATCCTCTAGTCTTCTTTTCCTTTGGGTTTTTTAAAGTAAATGGTGAGGGAAGGGGGGGGGGGTCTTTAGATGACAATTGTTACTGCAAATGTTTTAAAGAATTTCAGCTGCTGTTGCGGTTTTGTCGTTGTCGTTGTTGTAATTGTTCTCATTGATGATGTTGTTGTTAATGTTTCTGCAGCCACTGATGCTGCGGTCATCTGGATTAGAAATTCTAAGGCATCTGTCTGGTTTACAAAAACGAAGGGGAAGGGGGTTAAGACGTATAAGTTTTTTTGTCTTTTTATACCTTTAACACGAGGTAACCCCCGCCCCAAAATTTAAAAGTTAAAAAAATTAATAAAACAACCTTTAAATAAACTAAAAGCATTTTCCAGGAATAACATAGCAATGTTCTTTAGCTCACCTGTAAAGTTGATCGGTAAACTTGTTTCTCTCTATCGACACAGTTGTGGTGTTGAGAAGTCCCGAACCCTCCTCCACCCCATTCGGAGAGCTGCTCATGTTATTGTAAAGCTTGATCTTCCTGCTGCTATTGTCAAAGGACCTTTCAGAGCGCCGGTCGTGACTCTGTCTACTCAGAGCACTCATTGTTTTATTATTAGTTGCAGCATCTTTATCGTCTACGCGAATGTTTCCGTTGACACGAGAGTTGTTGCTTCTGTCGATGTGCCGTGATGCGGGTTCGAATCTCGACATTGACCGTAATGGAGCTTCGTCAGAAGGAGACAGCGTCCTTGCGCGTGAGTACTTCCTGGAGTTTGACCTGACGACCCGAGATGTCCTCTTGCTATCTGGAGGAGGAATATAATAATGTGAATTATGAAGGGTTTTTTTTAATAGGTTTTTCGTTGATGCTGTTGTTTATTTTGTTTGTTGTTGTTGTTTTGGTGGGGGTTTTTGTTGGTGGGTTGTTGTTGTTTTTTTGGAGGGGGGGGGGTCTTTGTTTGTTTTTGGTGTTGCTTTTTTATGTTGTTGTTGGCGTTGTTGTTTGTTTGTTGTTGTATTTATTTATTTATTTTTTGGGGGGTGGGTGTGTTGCTTTTGATGTTTGTTTTTTGTGTTGCTGATGGCGATTATTTTGTTGTTGTTGTTGTTGTTGTTGTTGTTGTTGTTGTTGTTGTTGTTGTTATTGTTGTTGTTGTTGAAGTCGTCATCGTGGTTGTGGTGGTATGTTGGGAGGGGTGATAGGTTTAATTTAGATGGTAACGGAGTTATCCTGCTGTCGTTGTTGTTGCTGCTGTTGCTGTTTATGTTGTTTTTGTTGTTGTTGTTGTTGTTGTTGTTGCTTCAGTATGTGTGTATGTGTATGCAGGTAGCTATGAAAGAGACTGTGTGAGCATGATGGTATTTTGTTCTTTTACGGATCAGTAAACTTCGTCTAATCTTATATTTTTTCGTGCAGATACAAAAACAAATGCCTGTAATCAGGAATGTTTGCCTGTCGTAGTCTAAATTCCTTCACACTATATTTTCAAAATATGATTACGTACCGCATTTCATTTACTTAAAATTGGATTGTTCGGTAGAAATATATACAAATATTAACACTTTTATTTAAGTGATTTTTTTTATTTGATTTTTTAAAAAATAATGTGCAAATTCAAGTTTAATTGATTTCAAAGATTTGACAACCTATTAATTGTCACGTGTACTAAAAACAACGAAATGAAACAGCGCAATAGATATGTCATCAAATACATACTTTTCCTTTTTAAAATATATATGATGTATCGTTAGTAATTTGTTTTTAAGACTCAAGTAATATTACAATTGTGCTTTAAAGAGGAGAATTGAGAAAAAAAGAGTAGATCATATAAAGGTTGTTATCTCTTTAAGCTAGTTGCCATTTGTAGCAGAACATAAGTCATCGATAAGATCGTAATATTATGATTGTGTCTATTGAGTTTTTAAATAGTATGGATGCATCTTGTGACTCAATTGTACATTATATATATAAAAAATATATTATAATATATATGATATA